ACTGCCTGTCTGGAACACCCTGAGTGCTGCATGTGTTGCTCTCAAACTTATAAAATATGAGCCAAGGTTAGAAAAATGATAAGCATGCATACAACATTAATTATTCAAAAACATGCCAAATACAAACTTTTACCTTTCAATAAAAAGTTGTTTGTGTCACTGAAAGCTCTGTTATTGGGTTTTTCTTTTAAGATAAAATATGTTAATGTTTGAGTTGTTTTTCTTCTGAACTAAAACCTCAGTATTCAAGTTAAACTGCCATGTTGGCACTTTGTGATAAATAAGTGGGTTTGGGGTTGCGGTTTGGGCACTCAGTCTCTAAAACCTTTGCCATTACTTATCTAGGTTATATATTCGTACTTATAACTGGAATGAAAACAAACACATTTCATCCCATAAAGAAGATGTGTAAATTTCATGCAGGTTTTTTTTTTATTTCAAAGAGGTTAATGAAAAACACAAATCCACTTTGCTTCAAGCTTTGCATTTCTACCGTTATGGTTCTGTTAGAATCCAAGTATATGACTTTCTGTTCATGCTTTTTTAAGAGACGGAAGAGTTAGATTTGCAGATATTCCCAACTGAAACAAAAAAATGAGATGTTTAAAACTTTATTTGGAATATATATTTTTTTGAATACCCAAAGTGCTGCTAATCCCTAGGTTCAACATTTCTCTCTAAATTTATTTGCTGTGTTTATATACCACCTTTCTCACCCCTGAAGGGACTCAAGGCAGTTTACAACATTTTAATGGCAACAATTCAGTGCCAACATAATATAAAATATCATAACTAAACAATAACATTTAACCAAGGCTATGCATTGAAATAATTAAAACCATTAAACATAAGACATAAATAATATTTAAACATTAGGACAAAGCATTAAAACATCCTAGTATAAATATTAAAATCACATGATCCAAAATCGTAAACTGTAACCAATCCAATTGTCATTGCACATATTCTCGGATTATTCTTTGCACTACATTACTTTAATGGCCAAAGGCTTGGTCCCATAAACAATTCCATTACTTTTATAGGCACTTTGTAGGACTCGTATTTAATCCTAAAACTGAAACCAGAAGAAAGCTGACCATGCAATATGAATAGACTCATGATTGGGTTATAGACGCTTTTTAGGCATCTGCTTCTCTGGGCTTGAGACCAGTCTACATGGGCTTAATAACCTACACTCACTGTGTGGCTGATTCTGGCTGTCCCTGTGATACTCTGGAATTTCTGGTTTCTATCATGGAGCAAAACTGGTTAACTTAGTTTAGCCTTGTGTTTAGGAAAATCAGGGGATGCTCAGAAATTTGACCAAAACTCTAGAGTAATCCCACAGCTTTGACTAGTATGGGCAGCAGGACTGAGTCTGATGTGGGCCAATCCATGGTCCACACAAGTCACTGTGACCATTCCCTTTCTTTGCACTAACCAGAAAAGGAAAAGGGGGTGGATCAGATACATATCACTGCCTTTTGCCACTATCAGAGCTTCTGTCCATTGTGTGTTCCCCATGTTGATTCTCCTGGAGTTTGGGCAGCAGTAATGGTGATACTGTGGGTTGGGGACAGAATATGTGACCATAGTTTAAATGGCCAGTGTAGATGAACCCTTGGTGGAGGTGTGCAGGCCTCGCCTTCAGCAAGAAATGATGTTATCGGGACCATAGGGACCACCAAACGCAGCAATGCCCAAACACAAATCAAGGAACATGAAAGGCACTGCAGACTACTTCAACCAGAGAAGTCAGCTATAGCAGAGCACCTGATAAATTAACCTGGATACAGCATATTATTTGAGAACACAGAAGTGCTGGACCACTCTCACAACCACCATGTCAGACTACACAGAGAAGCCATTGAAATCCACAAGCATGTGGACAATTTCAACAGAAAGGAGGAAACCATGAAAATGAACAAAATCTGGCTACCAGCATTAAAAAACTCTAAAATTAGAACAGCACAACAACAGAGAGGAAACAAACATGGACATCTAATCACCTCTCAACAAAAGATTTCTCCAGGCACTGCCAGGCAATCAAGTGCTAATCAAGGTGGTCAGTTGAAACATTCACACCTAGCTCCAGCAGACAAAAGTCCTTTGTCCCACCCTGGTCACTCCATAGATATATAAACCCTTTTTCCTAGTTCCAACAGACCTCACTATCTCTGAGGATGCTTGCAATAGATGCAGGCAAAACGTCAGGAGAAATGCCTTTAGAACATGGCCATGTAGCCCGAAAAAACCTACAACAACCCAGTGATTCCAGCCATGAAAGCCTTCGACAATACAATGTTATCAACTGGCAGGTTATTGGTGTTTTACATGTACTTTCAGTTTTATTATGCATTAATATTTTTGGCCAATGTGCAATATCCATGATATTCACTTTTGGGTAAATAAATCACCAGGTGAACTGTTGACAACGAGACCCTGTGGATGAGAGTAAGAAAAAAATGGCTGTGAACTTTAATAAAGAAAGACTTTTTTACCTTACACAACATGCACCTCTATCGCTACATGTTCCATAGTTGTATGTATTGGATGAACATAAATAATCAGGATCTGTTGGGTTTTTACAAAAACCGCTTGTTGCTTGACAGTCTTCATCAGTGTATATTAGACTAGAGAGAGAAAAGAAACATAAGATGGTGAAAGAAGAGAGAATGAGAGCAGGTCTTCAGAACATAGAGATTATGGTAATTATCTTGAACTTCTCTGGTTGCCACATTTACCAGAACAGATTCCTCCATTTTTCATGCATTCAGAAATATATATCTATATATTTAGATAAAAATGCTCTGTTTGTTTTGAGTGATATCATAACTCAAAAACCGCTGGACTAATTGCCAACAAATTTGGCCACAAGACACCTACTAACCCAAAGAGTGACCATCACTCAAAAAAAAAAATAATTTTATGGTGGACCTGTCCAAAAGCAACATCCTATTGGAAGAAGATACATAAAACATTACAAAAAATATTAGAGATAAATATACCCCAAAACCCAGAAATCTTCCTACTAGGAATACACAACATAAAAATGGAAAAAAATAAAGACAAAATTTTATTCTTGCTGACAACAGCAGCTAGAATAGTATATGCAAGACATTGGAAAAAGAAAGATCCCCCAAAGGAAGAAGAATGGTTAACAAAAATATTAGATATAAGAAATATGGACAAATTGACGTATCTACTATAAAAAAGAAGGGCACCCCATTGGTGGAAATAGACTGGGAATATGTAACAACATACTTAATAAAAGAAAAGAATATGAAAAGAATTATTTAAAGGAACATGACTGGAAATATAGAAATAGGGGAGAGCAAGACATAAAAGAAAGAGAAAGAAGAAAAAAAGGAACAAGAAGGAAAAGGACAAGGAATCTCCAAACGATACCAGGAAGTCAACGCAATACCTACAAAATCACGCACCCCCCTCATACCTCACTATTCATTTCTAATTTTCTTTTCTCACATCCTACACACAATAGGAAACCAGCGTCTCTCAACACAACGAGACCCTGGATAACAGGAAATCGGACACCCCCCCCCCACTATACCTTTATCTCTAACCCCCCCTTTCCCCCCTCTTTTCCCCCCTCTTTGGTTTTCCCTACATAGTGAGAAACTTTTACAAGTCTAAAAGTTTCCAGCACTGTATCTATCTATCTGTTTATCTGTATTTTTAAGAAAAGTCATAAAGATTATTTTATATATAAAAAAGAAAAGGATAGGTTCATGCATTATAAGCTTTGAGTCAGTAAATAGACACAATGCATCACTATGAAGAGGTGAAGGTTACAATTCAATTAGTCTTTATTTAGGGATTGGTTACATTGTTGGGGCTAGGGAAAGAAGCGAAAGGAGAGAGCACACGGTTGCAAGGAGTCCCTGGTTGAGGCTGCTGCTGGGGCACATTTAATCATCAGCGCTTGCCCAATGGAGCATTCAGGAACTGCGGAACTCCCAGCGGCTGGTCAGATTAACTTGAAAGCAGCGGTCTGGGACGCTCTTGGCATCAGGACCACCAAACACATCAGGGAAACAATCAGGGACATCTAATCACCTCTCAACAAAAGATTGCCCAGGCACCAACAAGCCACACCAAACAACTGCCAGGCCATCAAATGCTAATCAAGGTGGTCAGTTGAAACATTCACACCTAGCTCCAAGAGACAAGAGTCCTTTGTCCCACCCTGGTCATTCCACAGATAGATAAACCCAATTTTCTCAGTTCCAACAGACCTCACTACCGCTGAGGATGCCTGCCATAGATGCAGGCGAAACATCAGGAGAAAATGCCTCTAGAACATGGCCATATAGCCCGAAAACCTACAACAACCCAGTGATTCCAGCCATGAAAACCTTTGACAATACAATGAGCCAACAATGTCATGCAGCAAAAAAAAGCCAAATGCTCAGGTGAAAGGAGCCTAGTGTCTAGATCTAGGGAAGTCATGCTCCCCATGCTCTATTCTGCTTTGGTTAGACCACACCTGGAATATTGTGTCCAATTCTGGGCCCCACAATTCAAGAGAGATATTGACAAGCTGGAATGTGTCCAGAGGAGGGCGACTAAAATGATCAAGGGTCTGGAGAACAAGCCCTATGAGGAGCGGCTTCAAAAGTTGGCCATGTTTAGCCTGCAGAAGAGAAGGCTGAGAGGAGATATGATGAGGGCCATGGAGAAATACGCGAGAGGAAGTCACAGGGAGGAGGGAGCAAGCTTGTTTTCTGCTTCCCTGGAGACTAGGACGCAATGGAGCAATGGCTTCAAACTACAAGAAAGGAGATTCCACCTGAACATGAGGAAGAACTTCCTGACTGTGAGAGCCGTTCAGCAGTGGAACTCTCTGCCCCGGAGTGTGGTGGAGGCTCCTTCTTTGGAGGCTTTGAAACAGAGGCTGGATGGCCATCTGTCAGGGGTGCTTTGAATGCAATTTTCCTGCTTCTTGGCAGAATGGGGTTGGACTGGATGGCCCAGAGGTCTCTTCCAACTCTAGGATTCTAGGATTCTATGAATGTTAGCTCGATGGTAATAAAGTTCTATCCAGCAAAGCTAGGAAGCTAGGACTGGGTAAAATTAGCAAAAGCGGCAATCTCTAAATCAAAACCTCTCTTTCTTGCCACTGGCAAGAAGTTCTTCCTTCCTAGCCAGCTATTTTGGAAGGCGAAGTCAGAGGCTGCCCGTGGAGTGGAGGGCGCCCGAGAAGAGCAGGAACCCCCAGAGAAGAAAAGACATCGGGACGCCCGGGGTCAAAGAGCTGGGACCTGTTGAAATACAAGGGGAGAAGAAGGTTAAACCAGCTTCTCTCTCCCAGGCCTAAAATCCCATCATCCCATGAGTCTAAATTCAGGACCATGGCTTCCCTGACTGGATCAATCTGCCCATAATGGGCTCTTTTTTACATTTTAATTCTGCTATCCCATATTCCTGCTACATATGACCGATTCCTCAGGGCCTGGAGCACTTCAGATTTCCTTGGCTGGCCCTCGGTTTCCTCATTTACAAGACTGGGTGACTTGTGCAAGTGCAACATGCAGCCTTCTTACCATTGCATCTGGCGGCCAGGTAGTCAGCGTCCATTTGTTTTAAGGCAGCAAGCGATCGAGTGTCCATTCCTAAGAGATATTGAGAAAGCAAATTGTTTATCGATTCTTCAGCCCAAGAAAACCAAGATGAGAACCAATGTCCGTTTGACGATGGAGAAAGCTTGTATAAAGAAATTAGCTGTTCCCGCCACACGTTGCTGTGGCCAACCTTCCCTCCTTCTTTCTCTCCTTCCTTTCCTCTGTTGCACTCCAGGTCAGGAAGAAGTCCTCTGACACACCACACGAAGAGTGAAGAAACAAATCTTCTTTTATTGAAGCTTAGCAAATAGCCAGAAGAAATAAATGCTTGTAAGAAAATCAGAAGGTTCCCATGAAGGTTTCTCATGAGAAACTGCCCTTTGCAATGGGGCCTCTCTGTCACTGTCTGCATGAAAATCATTGACCAAACCATCTCCATCTTGTACCTCAGCCTCAGCACCATCATTTCCCTCATCATTTCCCACATCAGGATCCTGAAACACAAACACAGGCTGATTCCCAACACTGGGTTTGCTTATCCTACATATTAATCCCATGTTTTGTTTGACTCTCTGTCTGTCCTTCCTCCTTCCTTTTTTTTTTCCTTCTCTTTCTTCCTTCTCTACCTATTTCTTGACTGCAACTCCCAGCAGTTCTCCTGATCAATCTACCTACCTATCAATATCTAATCTCTCTACCTGGAGGATTGCTGGGAGTTGTAGTCCAAGAATAGGAAATGGGAAATATGCAGAGATTGGGATGCTCTCAAAGCAGCCACCATTTCTGCTTTGGACTTTGAACAGGAAAGATCTCTAGGATTACTTAAATCGGAAATTGCTGCATTACCACATCATTATTATTATTTACCGGATATACTCAAGTATAAGCTGAGTTTTTCAGCACATTTTTAGACTTATATTTGGGTTGAAAGTGTCACCTTAGGATTGCCGTAAGTCAGAAAGCACTCAAAGTTCTAGAACAACTGCATAATAAGCAGCTGATGTATACTTTATTTACTTTTTTAAAAATCTGTATTAAATTATTCTTTTTTTTACTGTAACACTTCATTGCTTTAAAAAAAACATATGCACTATCCATAGTTTTAACCGGAATTTGTGAGTTGCCTTTGGTTTCCTGTTGGAAGAAAAACAGGCTATAAATTAAACAAAGAAAAGGAAGGAAGGAAGGAAAGAAAGAAAGAAATCTGCCAGAAATGTATATGGCGTTTCTGTGCAGGGGGGAAAACATGTTGTTGTTTTTTTCATTTGGGATGAGGGGAGAGAGGGGCAAAACACCTTTGCAACAAAAAGCATTTCTGAATGGAAAATAGGCTTTCCATTTAGAAAATCCATAGATCAATACATTGTTGGAGCATGCCAGGAATCAGTTAATGTGTGTGTGTCAACTGTAAAATAAGATGCATGAAGCAGATTGGTCAGGCAATGCCCAGGGAAATAGCTGAGCCTGGGACTTTTGGCTACTGTTACATTTTCGTTCTGGCCTAAGCTTAACAGGTGCAGAAGAGAGAAGCAGAGAGAGACAGAGTTTGGAGTGTACTCTTGCTTCATGAGCTGCTGAAGGAGTTTATCCACATGGACAAAGAAAGACCATTTTCAATCTCTCGTAAAGGAGCATTATGTGAGTTGATGTAACCGATCACATTGTACATATGTTGTTCTGAATTAAGAAGAATAAACTATTTGTTCTTTACTGTTCATTTGTGAGGCAGATTTTCTTTACCTGGAAAGGTAGTGTGTGAGCTGATCAAACATGAACTATATGTGGTTTATTACATTACATCACATACTTCCCCAAATGGGGAGAGTCTCACGGCAAGCTCACAGTTCTGCCTCTCTCTTTTTGTAATGAGGGCATCCAGAAATCTCTATTTCAGTTCAATAGATGTATAAATAGTCACAAATTATTTCCACCCCTAGTTAGAGAATTTAGAGAAGCTCCAATGGTCGTTTTAGTCGTCCTTCCCTCTTCTGTTCCAGAAACTTCAAAGGGCAAATGCAACCTCCTCACCCTTCCCTTTCCCTCATTCTGACATGCATACCTGAGTATCCTCTGAGCATCAACCGGTTGGGTGAATCCCTTTGATTATCCACGGATCGGCTGTTTCTCCCGCCTTTGGATAAAACAACAACAAAGAAGCACAACTTTATTCAAGGATTCCCTCCATGCAGATCCCAGCATCAAGGTAATTCCCCCCAAAATCTGATTTGGGACATGTGATGTGTGATGCAGAAGCAGCTGCCTCAGCCACACTCCCTTTTACGTGGTATGACCACGTCTCTGGCAATGGCCAGACTACTGGGTGTGCCTCACCTGGAGTTCAGGTGGTAGAAATGGAGCAGAGGCCACCAGGTCCGAGTTGTCTGCCCAAAGGGGAGTCTTACCACTCTTAGATCCACAGTTGAAGTTGCTGCTCTTGCTATAGCTGTGGAGTGTGATTTCAGTTTTGCCGCCCACATTATTGACATCTACAACCTTGAACGTCTCATATGGTGGGATCAAAATCTCTTTTTGTTCAGGGAAGTAGGAGAATTTAATGATATCGTTTCCAAGACAGGTTCTGATGGTGAAGAAAGTGTCATCCCCAAATTTCTTGGCAGCTTGCCGGCTCAGGGATGAAGACGTAAACTGTCCAAAACGGATGGGTGTATTGCGATCAGGGACAGTGAATCTTATATCTTTAATGCCGCGATACACATTATAGCAACCACCTTGGGAGGCCTTCAGGACCTGGCTGGCTCTTGTCAGAAGAAAGTGGAAACTCTTGAAATGGAAGGATTTTTCATAGTCTGCGCTGGATTTTCCGCCTTCTCTCACGGCTGGGCCAAAATTCAAGTACAACTTGCTGCAAGCAGTATAAGCAACCACCGCAATCCCATACTCCTCCTTAAAGTCATAAGGCAGCTGGAGAGAGTCTTTGATGTTATTCCAGGTGTTGGTTGCATTTTTCCAGACAAAATCATACTTTTGCTGAAATCCATCTGTAGTTGTATCCATCAGCTTGTTCTCCATTGTAGCTGAACAGCCCATGTACTGGTCATCATACGAATTTGGGACCATGGTCAATTCAACGTCTGTGAGACATGAGACCTGATTGGAGGAAAAAGACTGCATGGGACAACAGCTCAAACCACCATGAAACAAACATAATACACCCTTACAGCAGACATATGGAGTCTGTGTTTATTTAAGAAAAGTGAAACTTAAAATCAGCATAGAGTGTCTGTAGCTGCGTCATGACGGGAGTTCGGGAGTAATTTATCAGGCATACCCGACTCCTGGTCACAGCTTTAATAAACTGTGTGTTTTTTTTCTTCACAGAAGAAATGTTTCTCAATTGGTTCTGTTGGGAATCAGCCTGTGTTTGTGTTTCAGGATCCTGATGTGGGAAATGATGAGGGAAATGATGGTGCCGAGGCTGAGGTACAAGATGGAGATGGTTTGGTCAATGATTTTCATGCAGACAATGACAGAGAGGCCCCAGTGCAAAGGGCAGTTTCTCATGAGAATATTCCTGCTGCCTAGCAATGATGGTTCACTCCCTCTCTCTGTGAGCTCTCAAGATTTGGGTTTGGAAAACAATCTGACACCTGGGAATTTTAATGAGCAGCCAGATAGGGAACTGAAGAATAGGCGGCTGGAGATTAGCCAGAATCAACAGCAAACTCAGTGTTTACGTCACTTTGAAAGGCTTCATCTGATAAGGATCAAGTGTAGGGGAAAGTGAGACCAATTTTGGGGTTTTGGGATATAAGGTTTGCTTCAAGGGACAAAATTTCAATTTCAATTTGTTCGCCCTCATCCAGACCGTTACAGCGGCCAGGCACCGCTTCAGGACCTCGACAGCCTCCTTAGTAGCAGGTGGGAAGGAGTGACAGAGTTGGACATCATCTGCGTACAGATGGCACCGCACCCCGAAACTCCGGATGATCTCACCCAGCGGCTTCATGTAGATTTTTATGTGTTTGCCTTTGACAGGGGGGAGGTGGTGGTCTTCAATGTGGTATCTTTTTAAAAACCTAATAAAAATGTCTTTAAGGTGAAAGGAAGTTTCCTTTGGGCCCCATGTCCAATCACATTTGCCATCATTGCAGCCGGTGGAATGGATGGACTATAGCTCAAGGAAAGTGGGGCTGATCAATATAGAGATGCCCACACTCACCATAACAAGTCTTGGACCTGTGCCCTCAAGGAGCCTCAACCAATCAATCAACTTGAGTGGATCCCTTTTGGCAGCTGTCTTCTCCACCAGGAGCAGGACTTTCATAAAGTGAACATACTGTGCCTGGCTACTGAAACTAGGTTCTCATACCTCATACCGACCCTTTGCGTTCCCTTCATACCTTATGGTTTTCTCCAATGTAGGCTCCCATCAAAGCCAGGACCAGAACTGTCAGGACAGGCAGCATCTCAAAAAAAGGAAGGAAAAGGTACTTCTTTAATTGGAGGACATAAAAAGAACACAACATGGGTTCAAAACAAAAGCCCGGCCGAACCTTCTTTGCTCAGTGATTCAACAAGTTGGTTAGGACTAGAGCTGATCTAGGCCAGGATGTTTCCTGAAAGAAGGCCAATACCCGTGGATGGGGGGATCAATAGGATATTTGAAAAAGCATGAATGATAGATGGAAGGTTGGTTTCCCTAGTTCCTGCAAAGGATAAGGAGACAAATACTGAAAATTAGAATTTTCACAGCTTGGGGTTATTTAATATGTAAATTGTGTGTAGAAAATAGCATTAGTTGTGGAGGAAACACATTTCCTATGTGACAAACATCATTTTCTATGGAGAAGACAGCTTGTTTTGCACAAAAATGCATTTATTTTTGTGCAAAGATCTGGTGCCTACATTTTTTGAAGGCAGCAGATCTTGTCTGTTCTCAGATCAGGCCAGGGAAGACCATGTCTGTGGCCCCGTTTCACAAGAAGGCAATGGTGGCAGACCTCTCTGGATGTTCTTTGCCTAGGAAAACTCCATTCATTTCAGAGGATCATCCTATGTTGAGAGACAAGTTGAAGAAATATCCTACTTCTAGCACTACGAAGTAATGAGCTGGAAATAGTCCCAAGGAGGGGTGATTGAGATATAAACTGGGGAAAGAAAAAGAAAAGAAAGTGAAACTGAAATAAGGGGAAGGGGATCCAATGATAATAGTTATTCTTTTTCTTGATATAAAAGACAGGAAATATCATTGGAGAAAGGAGAGAATTATTTGGGTAAACAGAATCTACCAAGGGTCACAGAACATCAGATTATGAATGCTCTTATTACAGTAAGAGGAATTGAGGAGGCAGTGAAGAAAACCAATATAGGAAAGGCACCTGGGCCAGATGGTCTCACAGCTTCCCATTACAAGTGTTTCAAAGACACAGTTTTATTGCCTTTTCCACAGATGGTGAATTCTATTCTTCAAAATGGAAAGGTTCACAGTAGCTGGAAAGAATCTGATGTTGTGCTAATACCCAAAGAGGAACAAGATTTGTCTCCTGGCAATGAATGATTTATTATTTGTTTAAAA